AGGCATGTGACTTTTCTCAAATGTAACTATTTTTAAAGAATGTCTTCCTGAAAGTGGATTTGCTGAACATAAGTCAAGAATATTTCTTACGACTCCTAATATGTAATACTGTGAAGTTTCTTCCTGAAGGTATCATATGATGACAATGTTTTGAAAAGAAGGGAAGAGTAGAATTTAGAAACAGACCCCATGAAGTTGTGTTGCTCTAAAAGAAGATGATATATTTGGCCCCTGAAAAATATTTAACTCTCTTTCAATGCCGAGGAAGGGATTTCCTACTTGATATGTGGGCGGAGGGCTTAGTTGAGGGAGGTGGTACATGCACTGCTTTAAGTACGATCTTGAAAGTAAAATTTGCTGCCAGTCATTCATTTGGGGGAGATGGGCTTTTGAGAGAGAATGAATTAGTATTTTCTGAAAGAGTCATCCGATGCCAGTAATCAGGGTGGATTTCTTTGATTTGCTTTAGAAAGTTTACTTACTTGTCTGAGTTATTATTATTTTATTTCATTTTTTTAGACACAGCTCCGAATTGATTCTTTCTTTAGATTAGCTCAACAGGAGAAACAGGAGGCTAAGGGTATTAAGAGCCAGAGACTTAACAGAGCTGTGACATGTATGCTGAGAAAAGAAAGAGAAGAAGCAGCCAGTGAAATAGAAGCAGTTTCTGTTGCCATGGAGAAAGACTCTGAGTTCCTCGATAAGGCAAAAGGAAAACCCCAGAAGAGAGGCACAACAAATGGATGGAAAGAGTCATCCAGCCTGAAAAGAAAGAGGCTTTCGGATTCTAAATGGGGGCGTGAATGTGGTGGGTTTCTGGGGGAGGCCTACCTCTCGCAGTCATCTGATGCCTCTTCAAGTGAGGATGTGGAATATTTCCCTGTAGCGAGCATGCAAAGGGGAAAAGCAGCTGTAGAGTCAAAAGTCAGCTCTTCAGATGCACAGAGCCCAGTGCAGCCTGCTCCCAGGAGAGACGGAGGTGCCACCACGAGCAGCTCCAGCGATGATGACGGAGAGAAGGCAGAGCCCGTCCTGGTGACCGCCAGGTCTGTGTTTGGGAAGAAAGAGGGGAAACGGAGAAGTACGAGAGGAAGGAAGAGGAAAATCTAAAGACACCTAAATACACATGTATTCTCTCTAACTGGGTACAGCTTAACATTTTGTCATGAATTTGTTGTGAGGAAATAATAAAATTCAGAGTATTTGCACAATCTTTGTTGTGTGGTTTTTAAAAATATGGGCGTTAAACTCGACATTTATTTTTAAATTTATTACCTTTTTCTAGTGTTTTCCACTGCATTGAATATTTCCTTGTATTTACAAGCTTTGTTCATGTTTCTATTATTTTTTATTTTTATTTTTTTGCGGTACGCGGGCCTCTCAGTTCTGTGGCCTCTCCTGTTGCAGAGCACAGGCTCCGGACGTGCAGGCTCAGCGGCCATGACTCACGGGCCCAGCCGCTCCGCGGCATGTGGGATCTTCCCGCACCGGGGCACGAACCCGCGTCCCCTGCATCGGCAGGCGGACTCTCAACCACTGCGCCACCAGGGAAGCCTCATGTTTCTATTATTATACAACATCTGATGCTTTCTGACAACATTAAAAAGGGAAAAAGGATTTCTGTTGATCAGTACTCACTCAATGTGCGTTTCCTCTGACTTTCTGACCTAGACGAGAAGAAAATATATTTATATTCATCTTATTTACATAAATATATTTATATTCATTTATATTTACATTTCAGTCCAACCTCTCAAATACTTGGACTACAGCTGCTGCTTTTCTTTGCTCGTTATTTATTCCTTCCTAATTTGAAATGTCTTCTGCTTCAGTCTTCTCTGACAGCTTTCTACTAAAATCAACACTGACTTCCACATAAACTCAAGTCTTTTCTTAATGCTTCTTTTCTCTGGAGGTATTTAAAGCAGAACGCTTTTGGGGAAGGGTTGGGGAGAGAGACATTAAGTTTTTCTTGTTATTCTCATTTCTCAAAGCTACTTATAATTGGGAGTTTTCTGCATATGTGTTTGTAGGTAGAAAAGCAGTAGTTTTTCTAAAATTTAATTTTGTTGCCTTTCATAGGTAATTGACATTTGTCCTGCACTGCAGTAGCTGGGGTGAAGGCTAAGCTGCTGTAGCAAAGAGATGTTCACATGCAGTGGCCTAAATGCTGGAACGTTACCTCTCAGTCAACAGTCTGGCCAGTATGAGCTGGTAAGGCAGTTGTGCACCTTGATGTCATTCAGGGTCCCAGGTTCAGCCATCCCCTAGGCTGCTGTACTGCTTCAGTGGTCTATACCGGGTCACGGCTACATCTGCGTTTCAACCTGCTGGAAGAGGAAAGAACCAGAGTCCTTGGGTGAGCCGAATGTCTTATGTTAAAGGTGACTAGAAAAATCACTTCTGCTCCCATCCTGTTGAACTGAACTGACCATATACTAGGAGTACTCAGAAAAGTAATCTCTACATGGGCTGTTTATCCAGAAAGAGAGGAAAAATAGATATTCGGATCCAGTAATAGAAGACCTAGATATGTTTGCAAAAAAGCCTGTTTACTCGTCTGTATGCTAATAAAGATAGAAGTCTGGAAAAAAATCATTAGTAGCTTATGCCATAAATACAGTATTTACAGAACAGTTTGATATTATACCTTTTTTTTCTCTTAACCCTGCAACCAAGGTATATCATTTTACAAGGGAAGAAACAAGTTTACAGATGTTAACTGACTTTACCAAATTCACCCAACTAGTAGGAAACCATTGTGACCTGAACTCAAATCTTCTAATTCAAAATTCAAGGTGCTTATATTACCTAGAAAATAGGTTGCCTGTTAAAGACAAACAGCAGCAAAGCAAATTTATCATTATTCAAAGTAAGTGGGACACCTATAACTTATTTAGGATGGTGACCATCATATACTTTTTCTATAAAATTATCTTTCAGCTTATTAATCTTTTCTTTTGCTTTCTTTATATTTGCTGTTATACTCATCTGTGGAGCTCTTTATTTCATTTATTCTATTTTCAGTTCTATTTGACTTATAGATTCCAGTTCTCTGGTGTAATTCTTGTCATCTGTTTTTTATAATAATCACAATTACTTTAAAGTCTGTGTCAAAAAGCTCCAATATCTGGGTTACCTGTGGGTTTGTTTCCTAGTAGTTGACTAGTAAACTTTGAATGAATGCTGGACATTACGTATAGAAGATTGTGGATCTTGTGCATCTTCCTCTGGAGAGGATTCCAGAAGGTATTCTGGCAGGCAGCAGAGCGGAATGTTATTTTACTTTAATCAGGACCGAGTGGATGCAAGGCTAGTCTTTGTAAGACTCCATCTCCTAGTTGCCTCCCATTCCTAAAAAGTAGTTTTCCAGGGATACTAACTGTCTGCTGGGGTGTTTCTCTCGTCTTTTGAGCTTTGCTCTGTTTTTAGCCACATTATGCTTGGAAAATTAGCATCTTGCCCTGAACATCTTACTGTGCAAATACCTTGAATGAAAAGTCAGTGCTGAGTGTCAGCCTTACTTCTCTGTCCCTTCTTTCTGGGATCTTGGGCTCCCAATTCCTGGCAGCCTCGCCAGCTCCAAACACTATTCCCTTGTCTCCCTAGTTCCCTTGTCTCCCTAGCTAAAGCTCTGCTGGTGTCCTTTCTTACGTTCCTCTCTTGGGCTTCTCAGCTCCTTTACACCAATAATCAGCAAAAACATGGAATTCTTGGCTGCCTTGGAAGCTGTCTGATCCTTGCAATGGGTGTGTGCGTGTGCCTGCGTGCGTGTGTGTGTGTGTGTAAAATGTGCTTTTCTAGTTATACTGGGAGGCAGAAGTCTCTGTGTACTTCTTTTTAACTGTTCAATGAAACTGAAATAATCATTGTCATCATGTCGATTTAGATGATTCATTTAGGTATTCTATTTCTTAGGAAATCCAGCACTGAGGTTTCTCGATCTTTTTAATAACTTGTGGGAGAAGACAGGTGGTTTTTATGTTCCAAATAATTCTTAATTCTTGTTTTAAAAAGACCCAAAAAAGGGAGTGTGTCCTCTGCCCAGAATTAGCTTCCTGTGAATAATTGTTTTCATCATTTAGGATTTTGCAGTTTCCAGGATGTTTTATACCTACCATATTCATCTCACAAATAGGTATTATGTACCTTTTATGTCTCTGCTTTATAGATGAGGAAGACAAGAAACACACTAAGTCAATGCCTAAAAATCACATGCTAATTATTGACAGGAATGACTAAAATCAGGCTCCCAGACCACTAGTCCTGTCCGATACATTAACGTGACCTCTGTCCATCGTGGTATGTGAAGTATTTCTTAGAAGCTGTACCCACACTCCTAAGTTTAACTTCACAATATTGCTCGATTTCATTACCTGTAATAATTTCTTATTCAGGCTATTTTCAGTGATCGGGGGAATTAATTCGTACTCTTGAGATGCAGCCCTAAAGGCACATGAGCAGGTGCACAGGCGACATACACCCTCAGCCTTCCTATTCACTCTGAGAAGGAAGGAACTGTGCAAATATAATTCCTGTGTCCAGATCACTGCTGCACACACACTCTCAAACATTCTGGTGTGGTTGTCTGATTCTAAAAATGGTGTTTGCACCCAGACAAGTGACCTGAAAAACACATGGCCTCCGTTTCACAGGACGTCATAGCTGTGGACTCTTAAATAACTCCTGGCATCAAAGTTAAAAATAATCGCTTTGCCCCGATAGCCTTCACTCACTTGCAGGAGTGTTTTTACTTACCTGTTGGCTCTTGCTCTGTTCACGAGACACTCACATGGAATGTGCCTACTTAAATTTTTCAACCCCCTTATTTATGGGCGTTCCAACCTCACTGCTGTATGATCAGAGGCTGTGAAGCTGCAGCTGTCAGGATTAGTCGTCTGTGAGGACTCGCTGCCAGTGTGTACAGTAGTAAACTGCGTGCTTTGGTCCTTGCCTTTCAGGCACCATCAGAGGTCTCATCAGCAAAGCAAAAGTTGTGGATGATACTTTTTAACCTTCTAGAAACTCAGCTAACTCATATATATAGGTATGTCCAGACTTAACATTTAATAAATGTTGACCTTCAGGTAGGCACGTGTCATAAAGACCGCTTTCTTTAATGGAAGAGAAACTAAATTGGGAACAAAATGGGTGACTTGGGCTACTACTGTTTTAGGGAAAATAATTTGTCTCCTAATTTACTGAGCATATTGTAAAGAAAAACGTGTTGATTATGAAATGTGTTTTGGGAGCCTTAGAAGAAAGGAATGAATATAAATTCATGGTAGTACAGTGATTTAAAACCTGATACCTAAGGCGTCAAATTGTTGTTTTCCAAAGTTGGAATTACAGCTTGTTTAAGCTTATTCACATGATATGCTCTGCTTAGAGGCATAAAATACTTGAATTTCTTTCATTTTAAATGTGTTTGCTGAGATTGTATGGATTTTTTTTTAAAGAAGAAGCTACTTAAAAAAACCGTTTGGTGGTTGGGCTGTTTGCCCCTGGGTACATGCTGATGACCACGGATGAGAGCGACTCTGCATCTATTACTATGTAGGAAGCTTTGTTTTAGATTAATGCTATGGTTTTCACTACACTGAATGAAACCCATTCTCCCAATGTTTTAATCACCTCTTAAGTTTTAGGATCGCTCTCTAAAATTTCTGACCCTGAATTTTGGTTGTACTAGATAGATTGCGTTTCAGTGCACTCTTTTTAAAATCATGATTTATTAATAAGATATTTTAATATAATTTTCTCTGCTGTATTTGATGTTAAACTTTATTAGGTAAATATGAAAGCGCTTAACACACATTTTGAATTAATTATTACCATTTGATATTTTAATGTATTTGCCTAGTTTTCAAGAAATGATCAAGAAAGCATCAATATATAGCCATCCCTTAGTTCATCGCTTAATGGATCTCAAAGCTCAAAAAAAAGGTAAATTATTTTATGTTTCTTTATGTAATTTGGCCAATTCTAAGAAGACAACAGAATGTAAATGTTTACCTTTGCAGTGTTCGCTGATGTCATAAAGAGAGCTAGGACTTTTATCAATTGCATATTATATCTTGGCTTGTGTTTGCTAACCTGTAACTATCTCTAATAATGTTTAATGTCCCCTGCTATGCCTGTGGGCCTGATGATATGTTAGAGATAATTTTGACAGATAATAAATCAAATATATAGACTTGCTAGGTATTTAGAGTTTTTTTTTTTTTATTCTGGAAAAGTGGAATAAATTTTTCCCCAAGTGCTGTACACTAAATATATGATTGTGATTTCATGGTTATTTCTTTTCAGATAGGAAGATTGCAAGAGAGATAAAATAGTTTTATGTAAAACTAAAGGTTTTTTACAAATGCTTCCATGAAAAATGATTTTAGACTATAAAATATTTCTATACTGTGCTTATGGTCCCTCTGATGTATTAATTAGAGGCAAATAATAATGTACTTTGACCTCTTGTGGTAAGGAGAATTTAACCACCAGTGGAATTATTTGGAATTGACCCACTGATTTTTACATCATCCTAAATATCAAGTATGACTTTGTAGATTATGTAATATAACTATCCTCACTGTCTTGAGATAAAAAGTGCAGACATATGCTCTTGACATAGACTAGAAGAATTATTACCATGGTTTTGTAGAACAGTTGTAGTACAAATTTAATTATCCTGGCTTCTTTCTCTTTCTCCTTTACACTGTGGATATTTTCTAAGGACTAGAATCCTGTTTTCTTTGCCTTTTTTAGGCATACCAGGTGGCCTCTACCTAGGTGAGCATGTCTTTAGGCCAAGAGAGCTGGGTGTATGCCCAGTGTTGGCAGCCTATGTGGCTTAATCATGTACGGTTTTGCTGTAGTAATTTTCGCAAATCTAAACATTTAAAGTCATAATCACTTAGAGAATCCAGCCATTTAGATGATTTGAATGAAGATGTAGTTTCTCTGCAGTTTATGAATAAAATGTCATCATTATCATTACCATAATGCTTGCTTTCAACTTTGCATATGATAATTTGGCAAATTACAAAGGCTATGGAAGAAGTTCAAGGTAAGGTGGAGACAGAACTAACAAGAAAATAGTTTACAACATGAACAGACACAGCCCATAATCACCTACATTGTCAGCTGAAGCTTTAAAAATACATTCATAGGCAGTGCTAAGGGGATGAAGTGTGTGCCACTGGGACAGAGTCAGATTGCATTTTGTTGGAAAGGCTCCCACTAACCAGTAGGACACTCAGTTCTCAAGTACTGTAGGGTAGTGACTTTTCCTGTCCTAACTGTTTATACTTAGTCATCTTGTGCTTGGAAAGGATGGAGCAAACCCACAGCCCAGTTCTTGTATTTCAACACTGGCCTGAAGATCCAAAGAATTATAGGATGTCACTTAGTTATGCACAGATTAAAGTTAGGACTGTAGTGGATGCTAAAAATTCCTCTGTCTATGGTTTCTAATTTGCATTATAATCTAAACCGTCTAAAACCTCATCCACATTAACTATTCCGGATCTCTTAGGTTGACTACTCCTGCCAACGGTGGCTCTCCGGCTGTTAGCACAAGTAGCAGTGTGTTATAAAGGGCACTCCTCAGGGTCTGCAGCCTTGGAACAGGTGCGTACTAACCCGAGGCGCAGTGATTCCCATGCACGGTGACTTCCAAATCTGTCCTTCCAACTGCTTACTTGACGTCCTCCATTCTGCCTTGTGTTAGTTCGGTTCCTTCAGGAAGCAGATGGCAGAATGGGATTTAACATGCACGAGATTTATTGGAGGAAATGTCTGTGGGGGGTAAAGGAGGAAGGAGCAGAAGAAGGCCGGGAGAGCCTTCACATCACTGCACGTCCGGGTGGGCAGAGGCCGCATCACAGCTCTGAGAAAGTCTCGGGCAGGCCCACAGGGAGTCACCCCACAGAAGCTGCCCCCTGGACAAGCGTCCTCTGCAGCGGGAGAGGGGCCGGCTTAGAGGCAGCCCTGGGGAAGCCTGGCCTCCGAGGAGCCAGGTGAACCTGCTGCAGCATGTTCTCTTAATGCAAGCAGCACACCTCTATAGCCAGCGTGCCAGATGGCAGATCCAGATGCATTAAAAAGTAATTTTGCTTTTGCGGATTTGCCCCTCCGCCTGTATTTTCTATCTCAGTTTATGGCAACATCATTTCTCCGGCTACCCCGAAACCTGGAATCATGCCAGTCTTTCCTCTTTCCCCACACCCATCACCATCACATCCCATTGATCTTTACCTCCTAATATGTTTCTCTACCCCTCACCCCCTGTTTGCAGCATCATCTTGATTATTTCTTCTCTTGACTGTTGTAACTGCCTTCTAACTGGCCTCCCCAACCCTGGGCCGGCTCCCTTTCTTTGTCCACAGATACTTGATCTTTTTAAAAATTAACACCTTGTCATGCTCTCCTTCCCCCTAAAATTCTTCAGTGCCTCAGTGTTTCCTATAGGATAAAATCGAGACTTCTTAGCGTGACACACAGTGTTTTATCTCATGCTATGACCCGCACTTATCCTATATTCGAGTTCTCAGAGTTTCCCAAATTGGAAAATTGGTCAAGAGTCTTTTGCCAGTGGGCTGCTGCACATGTAGATGCCTACGTACGGCGTATCTTGCCTTCTCTTATCTGACTTACAAACCCATGGTCATCAAGGCTCAGGTCATTCTTTGCTGAGCTCTCTGAGTTCTCTTTCTGTTTTTGAGTTAACTAGTTAAGTCTCTGTTCGACCACTTATATGTTGCTCTATCTTTGCATTCACAGTGCCCATGTACTCAGTAAATGAGGGAACGAATGAATTAGCTATAACTGAGGCCTAATGGCTGGACTTAAAAATCTGCTCATTAGGGATGATCTTGTATTTCCAGCCACTAGTCAGTTGACTCTTTTCAGGACCAGGTACAATGTATTACTTAGGAATAGCACTAAGTCTTTCACAAGGATCTTCATAAATCTTTACAGAGTTGGATTAATGGAAAATATGGCCTTTATAAGCAACATTGCCTCAATATAGGAAGAAGGAAGTTTGAGTAATTCTATTGCTGCTTAAGAAACATACCAAACTAGAGTCTTGAGTTAATATATTAATATACTAGTGGGAGTACTATAGCCGCATAATTACTAATGTGAAAATCATCCATCGACAGGTTTTACATGTTTAAAAAGTAACCTGAATAAGTATCTGCTAGATAAGACTAATAAATGTTCCACGTATTGAATAAAAATAACTCAAACATAATGATCCTCCTCAGATATCTTCAAAACTCAGGGCTGAATGTCAAGTTTGAACGTCACTTATTGCCCTTGATGGGGGCGTCTACCACTGCCTCAAGAGCTCACAAATTCGCGCTTGACTCCCAGACCCAGGGCTGCTGCCTCACTTCAGACTTTTGCATCTTTTGTCTAGATTATTACGTCTTCCCATTAGCTTCTAACGTAGCCTCAGCTGCTGTTGCCGGAAGTCGATTCTCAAATACCAATTTTGATTGTGTCAGTTCTTGTCCTAATGATTTTTATTGGCTCCTGTTCACCTTGTAGAAGAAAGGTCAACATTGCCCACAGGTCTGATCCCAGCCTGCTTTCTTCAGGCTTATTTTCTGCACCAGCTTGTACACCAGCTCCCTGGTCCTTCCAGGCTCTCAAGCTGGCCTGCACACCCTGGCAGTGTTGCATCTCCCTTGACCTTGCTTCCTTCCTTCTCCGCCTGGCAGCCTTCCCCTTCCCTCCACCTCAACTCAAATGTCTCCTCCTTGAGGATGCTTCTCCTGATTTGACCAAGCAGTGGTGCTTCCCATAGCACCTCGGAAATATTTCTTTTATTTCACTTATCACACTTTATTGGCATCTGTTTAATTGTCTCTCCCTGGTACAATCCTAGCAGTAGGCTCTGAGTACAACTAGATTTGGTTCTGTTTTTTTCCCACTTGCATCCTGAGCCGTGTCAGTAAAAAAATGAATTTTCTTTCTTTGGTAACTGTAGCTATCATTTGAGCCACGTGATGAAAGTTACAGCTTTTTATTCTTGAAAGTACGTGGACATCCAGACAAAAAACATTTGTGAAAATGTCTCAAGAATTAGTTTCAACATAAGGGCCCGAGACCTTGACATTGCTGAGGCATTCAGAATTGTAGCTTTCAGGTTTACCTGTGACCATTCACTAATCTGAAAATATCTTTAACATCTTTAAAAAAAATTCTCTAGGTATTTCTAAGAAGCACATGACATTCATCTTTGAATAGAAGATTCGATTGAATGACAGTGTCTTTCATTTCGTTGAGGGGTTTTTACTTTAAATTTCACAGACAGGTTTCTGTGACAGCCCTCAAATGGAAGCTTGAATTCACTTGTCATAGCTATTAAATAATTTTTTTTCTTTTCATCTATTTCTGTGATTTGACCCTTCCATTTATTATTGCTGTTATTGACCTTAAAAGTATAAAAGAGAAGAATACAGACAGAGCCTCTGTTTTTGAAGGCTTCTTACAATCCAGCCTTGGAAATCAATTCACTGTCGAATTTTCCTCTTAAGAAAAATATTATCGTGAAGGGCAGAATCTTGCTAATTTTTACTTCATACTTGAAACCCCTTTAATTTTCTGGAGAACAAGAGCACCTGGTAGATTTTATTCACTATCAGCAAAGATTTAATAGCAGGAAAATGGTGTTAAGCCTTTTTTTTTTTTTTTTTTTTTTTT